CACTCAGATGCTGTTGTAGCCGTGAATCGTAGTCTCAGATAACTTAGATGTCTCAGCTGCCTTTGTTTGGAAGTTGGCATGTTACAGGGACTAAATATTGGGCCTTAAAACTGATAATATGAAAAAGGCTGATAAGTAATGTACAACTTGACTGTTAACAAAATGTAGTTCAAAAAAACTTTCAGTAACAGTCTAAAAAAATAACTTGTTTGGGGCATAAATCAAATAGTTAAATGGCACTAAGTTTAAATTCAGGACTCTTTTCTCTAGATTTAGGTGTAAATTTAAGAACACTCAGAGTTCAAACTTTTTTTACAAAAATACTTTGAATTCAGAATTTTAAGTTAAATCTCAATTTTTTAGTCTTTATCCTCAGAAGTCAGACATTTCTCTTCAGAATCCTGATTTTATTCTTTAAACTCAGAATTGTGACTTTTTTACCCTGAAATTTGGCTATAACTCAAAGGTCTGACTTTTCGCTAATCTTTTCCCTGAAATTCAGAGACTTACACTATTACAAAATAAAACAAATAATGTCCAGAGCAAAATCAAAATCGCTTCAACACTTCATACAAAAGCTTTTTGTTTTTTTGTAATTAGAGGGAGACGCGTTTCTGTTTTTGGAGTTAAATCTTGAAAAAAATGTGATTCACTTTAGAAAAAAAAAGCAAAACTTGTTTTTAAAGCTGTTTTTGTAAAATTGTAAATAGTAATGATTTTTATTATATTAAGGAGACTGAATAAAGAATCTGTAGAATTTTCCTTTGAAACATTTTCAATGTGTGTTCGTTTAACAGCAAAAATGCTGGACGTTACTTTTTGTCCTGAGAAATCTTTCACTTTTTCCTGACAGTTGATTACCCCAACCACAGAATGATTAGTACAGAAGCTGGAAAACCCCAAACAAGAATTAATCATAGTGGTTCCTTGGGAATGAATCGAATTGAAGTGGATCTTTATTTGCAGCCTTGTGTCTTTTGGATCTTTATGAAAGGAGTTTTATTTTGAGCCTATTTCACCCCTGTTGTTCTTGCACAAGACTGTGCTCACATTCATTACATTTCCTCACTTCAGACAAAAGAAGTGAGATGGATGTGAATGATATTCAGACACATTTGGAATTCCAGACAGCTGGCAGGTTGTTATTCACAGACCTCATAAGAAGTGATTTTGACTGAAGAACATATGACTGCATGGGACTGTGTACTAAAAAGTATATTTCTGGTTAAATAATTTTGACCCTGGTGTGATATTTTCTGTATTATTTGAAAATAAAACTTCTTTTGATTAAATAATAAGAGTCAGTTATGAAGGGAACAGACACATAAGGGGTAATATTCCTGATTAAAATGCCGGGTAGGAAGAAAGTATAAAACTTCCATATAATACTTCTATGCCACTTACTCTGAATGTATTCATACCACCTTTTTGTTTTGTTATTACATTTCAGGTAAACTCCAGCCAGCATAAATAACCTTATAACCTCCTAGCATTGTTTGGTATTAGAAGTGAAACTGTAACATCACATTACCACGTCTCTTTTAAAAGCCACGAAAGAAGGAAATGGATCAATAGGCTATTTTGTTTTACACCTCAGCTCATGAAAAGTCCACTGAGGCGAACATTACCGCTGCAGCCAGTCTGAATAAAATTAATCTCAAACTACAGCGAATGAAAATCAGATTGACTGCTGCACCTGCGAACAAGCATGCCCTTCAGAGTCCTCTGTGGAGTCAACAGTCTGCTACAAAACAGGCTGTCCACAATCCTATTCATTTATCACATTCAGAGTGAAAATCTGACCTCTAATTGAGGCAAGGAGACATTCGGGAGGTGGTCTGTCGCTGCAGTGACGGCACTCTGATACACGCCTGTAATTACACCCAAATCTGCAGCCAATTATCAGAGGAACACAACCCATTATTGAATAGAGGATTAATCATCATCTGCATCGTAACAGTGTTATCCAAAGATGGAGTTATGGGAGATGGAAGGGTCTGAGAGAAAGGTGATTTACTGCTGAGATTATGTCTCCACTGGGGCCACAACGTAAAAGGAAGGCTTAAATAAAAAATCCTCCAATCCATCATCCTGTGTGCACTCGCTGATAATGCGATCCATAAATTGAGAGTTTATGTTGATGCAGCTCAGACGTTCAAGAAAAGCGGTTCTGAGGGAAATGGATTGGACTGTCATGAAGTCTGCTGAATGGGCATTATTTTGATTTATTACAATGCTTGATTTAGAGAACAGATATGATGATATTACATACATCTTAACCTCATTTAATCCAGTGAGACAACTACAACAAACAATGACTAAAATAGAACAACTAAAACAGCAACATACAGACTCTTGGGGACAGCTACATGAAACCAGTACTCTGACTTTTACTTAACTACTTTAAGAGACAGATAATTCCTGCCTCTTTTACTCCTTATATTATCAGCAGCTCTGAATTTCATTTTAATACATACTTGATTGGCTAATACCACTGGGGCTAGAATCTTTCTTAATCCCTGTTTGAGTAAAACTTGTGCCCAGTTGTACCAAGGAACCACAGGGCCTTCAAAAACATGACCTATATATTTACAAAAGAGTTTTAAAAATAAACTCGGACTGAATCTGCTGGGAGCTGAGGCAAGACGGGTAAGGAAGTCTGAAATTGTTAAGAAACAAATAAATTCATTGTTGTTTTCAGGGCAAAAAGGAAGACACGGGAAAAGCTGAATATCCATTCTCGGGGCGTTATCATTCAAAACCAATAATCTCTTTCCTCATTAGTTTCCTTTCTCCCCCGGGGTATTTCTTTAAAAAAGAATAATGATGACAGGTTTAGAGTTTGCTGTTTCTTTGGTACCTTTCATTCAGCATTGAAATTCAGCACTACTACCTTCATTTTCTATTATGCCCCCAGAGTACCTCCTTGTAATTTCGATCTTCTTGCTCTTTCAGTGTATTAGACCATTAAGCAGGGCAGTTTGTTTTGAAATTCGGTTCAAGGGGACATTTTCTCCAAGCGTTCCTTGTCGCCAGATACCGCAGGATATTGATTTGAGCAGCCAGGTAAGCCCATTAAATTTATCTCTGCAAACACAGTTGCCATGACATGAGGCAGGTTGCTACGCTAATTCTGTATTTGCACTGAAAAGGTTGACAATAATGGGTTGAGAAAAAGAAGAGCTGATAACAGAGACTGTTGTAACTGCAAAGTTTTAATCAGCGGTGGACTAACCATTTTGTTGGGGGAGTGATAATGGAAGATACAGTCAGGAACTGCGAAATGTCATGTATTAATGTCATATTACATTGCATATTAAGCAGAGAGTGCACATAAATCATATGGTGTAAAGGTTAGAGCCAGATTGCTCAAGAATAGTGGGGATTTCATTCTAATAGAACAAGAAACTGTGCTTCAGGAAGTCTGAAGTTAAAAGTCCTCAAGCTGCAGTTCATAATTTCTGCAGACGAGTCAAAATAATTGAATTGTAGCACTCAGGTAATGCATTTTTTCCCCCTGGATAGCTTACTTGTGGTAAGTGAAGGGTCTCTACAACCCACCGCAGTTTGTCACTGTTCCCACGCCTCCGCCCCACAGCCAGCAGAAAACCCCATCGACCAGCAGAGCAAGCTAGAGCCCTTATTGACCAGCTACCTCTCCCGGTGGTCATTATCTTTACTGCCTTGTTACCAGATGGAGGCGGTCGGCATTGGCACACACAACGGCCTGATACAGCTTCTTTGTGCAAGCAGATGGACCACGAGGAGATGGGCGATATCACACAGAGCGATGGCGCAGGCAGGCACACCAACTGTCTGCAACCCAGCAGTAAAGTGAGGAAAAGGGGAAACAGAGATTGAACAATGACATGATCAAACGAAGACTGAAATAATATGTGAGGAGAGGAAATGTGAGCCGGCTAGAAATGACCTATTACCCAACCTCAGTACACCCTACTAGCTTTTGAACACCTTCAACACAACACAACGTTATACCTCCACAAATTAACCAAAGACGCTTATCATCATTACAAATATAAGTAAAATGCAGACATGAAGCTTGTCAATCCCTCTAATAATAGGCTGAAAAACCTTCAATGCAAAAGTACTTGTATAGCAATCATACACTGTATATATCATGGACAACTTGGCCGCCTTCTGCCAGTATACAGAGTTGAAGCCGAAAGCTCTCTGTAATTCTGCGTTTTTTCTCTACTTCCTGAAACCAACATTGTGCAGTAGCGTGGTACACAACCCATCACTTATATGCATTCGGCGAGGGAGTCGCTGAGAGTCACTGTGATGACGCTCGGCTCAAACAGCGTATCCCCTGGGTGAGCTACTCAATCTTCGTATGCCCATAGGCTGTATCAAGTGTCAATCATAGAAAACATGAACCCCTAATAACTTTTAAAAACAGAGCTGCACAGAAAAAAGAGGACTTGAGCACAAATCAGTCTGACAGTAACCGTGTCCACAGCCCCATAAGGATGGCTAACAGAGGCGGGATTTATGACCTATACTGCAGCCCATCACTAGGGTGTGCTGTTCTCGGAGTGGCTTCAACCAGCAAGGAGGCAGACGGCGTCCATTCTATATACAGTCTATGGTAGCAACTCATAATGTAGTAGCGTCTTTGTGTTTGCGTCTTTGTAATGTAACAATTTATTACATGATGAAGTTTGAAAATGACACAGGTAACGTGATTTTGGCTAAAAACATCATGATCACAATTAAAAGACCACTGAGAGCATTTTAACTAGTAAAAAAAAAAAAAACAGAGTGGGACTTTGAAGACAGGATGGACACAAATTTTTGTTCATACAATGCAAATGTGAATGAGGTTAGTAGCCTGAATTTAGCTAGGTATAATGCAAATTTGGGACATGGCAAATACACTGCTTGTGATAGCCAATCAGCATTTGAGAATCCCTGTTAATGTGTGTTAAAAGATTCATTTATCTGGAATATGGAGGATAAACACTTCATGAGTCAGTATGCAGCAACCTTGATACAACTAGCTTTTACCATCAGAGACGACAAAGAGTTTTCCTGGACGAAAGTAAGTTAGGAGGTCAGAGTTTTGAAGCCCATTTGTGGCGGTTGCTGTATTTGAAATGCTGACTCAACCAAAATTTTGGCCTCTGTTTCGCTGATCTTGCAACCTTAATATCTCTGACATAAATGCATGAGAAAAAAAGAATCACCTCCTGTACAGTGGGTGCCATTAAAGCCCTGAGCTAATCAGACCAAAACCGTCTGATATTCAGCTCCAATAGTGTGGACACTTCATTTGAAAATAACAATCCCTCAGCCTAACCTGAATAAAGGACCTTCATTTTCCTTTTCAGCAGCAGTCAGGAAAAACAGCTTCACTGCTGTTTGCTGTAGGCAACCTCAAGGTTTGCTGTCTTTTGTAAAAGGCTTACTTGCTCACATGCTTTACCCACTTGCCACAGCATAGTATGTGGCTCTGAATGTGTGGATTAGTTTCTTCACACTCACTCCCATTAAATCTGCTGTTTTTTGAACCACAGTTAACATAGCGGGAGCACATTCTGCCAGACGGTGTTATCACCCTGAAAGAAAAAAAGGTTTAAGTGTGAAATAATGCACAAAAAAGTTGAAGACATTTCAGAGTGCCAGAAGGGAAACCTACTAACAGAGAGAGACACAGTTTCTGAAGCTATGGATGGCTCTTCCTCTGTCTGTTTGTGAGCAGATTAGTTGGTTTATCTGCCTCTTCATCCTAAAATGGTCTCATTAGAGGGAATTTTTTTCTTGGCAGAGATATTTTTCATCATACCGGCTCACAACACAACCAAGTGTTGGGCTTTGTTAGAGAGGTTTTTGAAGCACCGCCTGCCCTCGTTTCTGGCACACCTCCTCTTGATGCCATAAAGCGACCTGAGCACATGTTAAACTGAGACAGATCCACGCCTTACCAACTGTTATCATCCTGTTTCTGTCTGTTCTCCTCTCACTCGTTTGATCTGGCCGGGGGGATCCTATTTATATGTCCGGGCAGCTGTCAACAGGGCGGCCTTGCAAACTGCAGAGAAGCCTGAATTGTGAAATGCTATTTCTGGGACTCCACAGAATACAAAAAGGAAGCTCAGGAGAGAATAAGTCATGGCACACACTGAACAGCAAAGACACTCAGTGGGTGTGTAATCAGGTCATGCTGTTTTGTTGTGCTCTCTGTGAAAACGTCTGTTGTTACACCTCAATCTAAGCGCAACCATTTTCTATAATCCTGTGTCTTTCTGTTTATCTAAAACATGTCATGAAAAAAAGTGCAGAGACCTGTGCTGTAATTTTTTTTTTACCACTGACTTCGTGAGGAAGACAGGGACAGAGTAATGACGAAAAAAGGGAGGAGGGGGAGTGATAAAGGGAGCACTAGAGAGGAAGAAGTGATAGACAGTCACGACCAAAGGAGGCATGAGTCATGACAAATGATGACGTAGGAGGGGAATGGGTCAGGTTAGCAGCCTTCATGGGATGTAATCACCGACCTAGCAGGAGCGCATGTGAAATAATCTAGGAAATAAAAAGAGACAGGGATCCTGGATCAATAACCTGTGTAACTCTTGGAGTTATGTCATCTTTATGGCGCATTTTACTGGACGTTTGATGTCAGCTATTTCCCTCAAGAGAAATTTATTCATCTCTTAGTATTTTTCAAGTATTTCTTCATTCTCACTGAGAGGGAGAGTGCTGGTTTGGAGTCACTTAAAGGGGTTAGTGTTGCAACACTGTGTAAATCCTTGCTTTAATTATGACGGGACAAAATTATAATGATGTGCAAATGTGAAAACGCAGTGCTGCTTTTTGTAGAGTTTCACCAGCATTAAATGTATCGCATCAAGAAATCATTCAATATTATGTTAGCAGCCTGTTGACAATATTTCTTAAATTCATATATATATATATATATATATATATATATATATATTTTTTTTTTTTTTAATTTTTATTTATTTATTTATTTTTTTGATAATTTTTCTAACCTTGTCCTGCACATCAAAGTCATATTTTCTAACAAACAGTCTCATCTTACTTTCCTTCTTTCTACAAAATCATTTGTTGATCATTGTGGATAAAATCTGTTGAAAATGTAAATTTAGGCTTTTTCTTCAGTCTGCTGTCAATTGTCTGCTCTGACACCTACCCCCTTTACGGCACTTTCAGGAATAAAAAAACGGTAATATACTGAATTTTAATCTTGTTACCGGTGGTCTTATTCGTATCTATCTGTTTCACACACACGAAAAATCTCCTCACAGGAGCTTTAAGATCACAAAAAGATGCAGTGGTTTCTAGACTGTGAATAAAACAAAGAAAAAAACTATATAATATTCATTTATAAAAGTCAGAATACTAAAGTTTTAACACAGCAAGAGTTCAGAAATATGTATAAACTAGAATAAGTCTAACATCCTGGTTTTTATTTAAGCATCCATTTGTCTTGACACACTCTCCATCTCCCATGGTTAAATGAGGAGTGCCTGTGCTGAATTCACTTCCTTCAATATGAGGAAAAAATGTGAATGCTCTTTTGATTTTTGGGGGGATGTTCTTAAGATAAACTGCAAGTCTGTCCCAGAAAAGGAAAACTTTCACATACTGTAGTGTACATATATAACTTCAAACATTTTTTCATGCATAATTTATGCTAAGTTGTAATTAATTTTTGATTTCGGAAAATTCATATTCATATTCATACTATTAATCCCAGCTACAGATCTTCATGGATTAAGGAAACAACGAAGTGGATGCCTGGAAATGGAAAAGGATTGAGACTTGAAATGTAGCTGACTCATAGACCGAATTTAGTGAAGTGGATCACAGGAAAGGAGTTAAGCAGCTTATAAATGTGTGTTCCTCCAAGAAGCAATAATTGTTGGGTTTAAATCCAAAGCAGGATCTTTTATAGCTCAAACAGATATAGATCTGAGATAATCTGAGGAAACGCTGCTGGAGATGGCTGACGTGGTAAAATGTCAATAAGTGTGAAAAATATCTATAAAGAGTCAGATTTTAATCTAGCAGGTTTGGCTTGGCTTTTTATCATGACATTTGTACATTTTGTATCTTGCATTTCTTCCATTTTTGGCCACAGATATGTGAATCTGCTGTTCATCTGTGTGATTGCATGTGTGCAGCAGTGAGGGAACATTACAGTCATTTTTATTATTACATCAACAGGAGAGATAAAAGGCTCTGGTGCCCACACTGAACAGCAGCTGGAGATAAAAGCTCCAGACAGCACTCTGAAAGCAACACTATCAGCGAACACAAATCCAATCACAGCCAATTAACATGGGCTACCTCCAGACGTTTGAATGTAACGTCTCGATCTGCTGCCTGTGTGTAAAGATAAAATATCAAAACCCCAAACAACGAGCCAAATTTGGATTCAAATGCCATCAATATTTTCCAAGATACAGTTTTACATGTAGAAAATTGCTCATATAAACAAGTTCATAATGATGTCTGTGCCACTGGGGAAATAAGAGCAAATTGTCTTTGGCTCAGAAAAGTCTTTCGACTCTGACTTGATAATGAGTCTTTTTCCATGTAACGTGTTGCCTGAATGCTTACTGGAAAGCCTCTTCTTTTAAAGAGTTTAATAACAAAAGTGTATGACTCTGTTTTCCTTTTTCAAACTAATTTAGCCTAGCATTAAGCTAAGACAATAGCCTAGGTAGCTTTACATCGAGATAAACTAAAACATGCTTAAAGGGATATTCCAGCGTACAATTAAGTTTGGGTGAAACACACTGTAACACCGAGTTAGACACCCCATGGAGAGATGAATGTTGCCGACCGCTTGCATCTCTAGTTATACCAACTTTAGTAACGACGGCAGATAGCGATACAGAGAGCCAAGCGCTCAGCCAAAAATCCACTCTATAGCCACAAATAATGCTCAGAACAGCACCTAACTTCATCAACAGTTCATATTAGGGTCCCATCTATAGTAATAGCCACTGCAGCAGGGGGACGCAGCTCAAGGAAGAACATTTATGATCATTACTTTATCATTTCCTTGAAGTAATAATCACCATATTACTCATTTTGCACTGCAGATGCGGTAGTTCTTTGGCCTTAGCCTTAGCGTCTAACTCGGCGTTACGGTGTGTTTGACCCTAATTTAATTTTACGCCAGAATATCCCTTTAACCAAGCCAAGGTAAGACTAATTCAACTAAGCAAAACCAAGCCGAGCAGAGACGAGCTAAGCTAATCTTAGCTAAGATATTAAAGTCTTCCAGTCGTAGTGTTGATATTTTTTGCACTGACAATAAAAAGAAATTGTTAAAAAATATATTGGTTGAGAAAAAAGTCTTTTGAAACAACACTTTTTTTTTTTTTTTTACATTTTACACTGAAAGAAAACATGCACTTCCTGTCATACACGGAGTGTTCCCAGCACACCTTTTAGAGGCTTTAAGCCCTCAGAGTCTGCACCCAGCTGTTCATGTTACATTTTCAACCACATATGGTTTGATGCAGCTTCAGGCAGCCAGCGAGGAACGTGCAGAAGTACGACCACTGCAATATGCCAGATGCCATTAGTTGGCCGCAAATGGATCTTACTTAGCCTTTTCGATCAATTGACCATTTGTGACTAGAGCACTGGCAGTTCTTGGAGGTTATCAATGGGTCAGCAGGAAGGGAAGCAGAGGTAACCACAGTTCAGTGGTAAATGTTAAAGCAGCACAGAGTCAGCTTCTCTTTTGGGTTATTTTATTTTTGTAGGATCCTGTGTGAAACCATGCAGCATGTTGAAGATGTTTTCCTCTCTGTTTTGATGAATTCATGGGTATAATGGATAAGAGGTGTTATTTTGTGAGGAAAGGAAATTGATATTCTGTTAATCTGCGAGAGGCAAAACTGACTTTTTTTAATCCGGTCTCCTGGCAGTCAAATTCGTTTCAGTGCTGTATAAATCTACCACACAGTGTGAATCTCTTCCTGCAACATCAAACCAAAAGAAGACGTTTGAACATATCACAGAGCAGTAACAGCCACACAAGTGTTTAACGTATGAATAAATTTTCTTTGCACTTGTTTCAGTGGAATTGCACGCTGTCTGAAATGTCATGGCGGTAATCTAGGACAGGAAAATAGCAATTGAAAGGGAGTGAAGCAGCAGCAGCCGCCAGCTGGCTAACTTCAGGGCACAGAGCTGGAGTCACGCCTAGATGATGAGCTGCATTATGGTGTTACTGGAAGAAAAAAAAAAGAGCGCAGATCATTTACCTCCCTGCACACCAAGAACACCTATAGGCTCCACTCCTATCCTTCCTCTTAGTATTTGTATATAAGGACACTGTGCACTTTGCAGCTCCAGCTTTAAAAAGCAAGTACCTTGAAAAATCAATCATTAAATCAATCTGAGCACAATACAGACAGAGAAATAAAGAGGGGATGTTGAAAAAAAAGGACAATTTTAGACTTGTGCAGCACCTTGTAATTATGCCCTCCATGGTAATTTCCAGTTTCCATAGGAACAAGACAGCATGATCAATGAGGGCACCCATGTTTGTCTGCTGGAGACAAAGGTGTTAAGATAAATATTGATCAATCAGAGGCAGACTTTTAGGGTTTGGGAGCTGCATCAGTTTGTAACAATACAGTCAAACATAACGCTCTTCTAATTATATGTTCTGGATGTGCCTATAAATCTTTCCACCAGAATTTGTGACAGTAGAAAGTTTTTATGTTAGTGTAGAGGCTACAATTAACCCATTCACCCTCGTTATTACAGTAACTTTTCCCTTATAATGATGCTTTTCCCAGAGAGGTGAAGGGCATGCTGGGAACACAGTGTGCTCAGGGTAAATTACCATCCTAATCAGTGAAACAAGCCCTGCTGTGTGTCTTTATGCTCATGTTTGTGTGACACATATGTCTGCAGGCGGAGCTGGAAAACACTATTACTCGATGACCGTGGTGGAAACTTGTCATCAGAGCGTTGAATACACCCACACACGCACACACACACACACACATATATATACACACCGAGTCCAGATGTGTGCTTTTATGTAATATCCTTCCTCAAGATCTTGCATTGCCATTGGATTTGAAATGACTCATATGATATAAGCTGAGATAAGTGATCACTTTGCTTCCTCTCGGTCACCTGAGCGCTGTTGTCTCCATATATCACCATAATAGCAGCCACAGGTGGAAGCAGAGGCTGGACCCACCTGCCACTCTCTGTTTGCCTCCAGCTAGGTAAATAAAGTCTTCATATTGTGCGTTGGCTTTGAAGCACAGACAATCTCCGCCTCTGCTTGTCCCCACAGACTCATAAGTCTGTAGTGCACTATCTCCAAACTCAACGTCTGCCCATTCATACAATGACTTTAATTATGATAGATAGTTAATGCCATCAGCCGATAGCTGACCACGTCAAGCCCTAATAGGTATTTAATGGCCTGCATAACAAATGGCCCTTGATTCTTGCTACGTTTAGGGGTTGCATTAGTAATGTGGATTGCAGGCTGAATTAGAAAGCTCTTGGCAGAAGCCAGAGCATTTAAAAGCAGAAGGAGGAGGAAGGTAAGGCTTTTACACAGCAGGAGGAAGCAGAGCCATCTTCACCAACCCCCCTTCCCTGCTCTGCAAAGTAATTACAAAAAAAGGGAAATCTCAAGGGGGGAGGCTGAGTGTGTGTGTGTGTGTGTGTGTGTGTGTGTGTGTGTGTGTGTGTGTGTGTGTGTGTGTGTGTGTGTGTGTGTGTGTGGCTCTGTTGTTACAGAATGTGAATCTGGCTTAACCTGATAACAGCACATTTCCACTCTAATGCAGTGCATATCCCACACACCCACGCGCACATTGAATTTTCCTCTAGGTTGCTCTTTTTTGGACATTGTTTTTCGTTTTCATTGGCTCTCTGTATTCTGTGTCCCCCTTCAATTCTCACCCCTCCCTCCCTTCTGTGTTTGAGTATTTTAACACTCGGCACGTCAGGGAGTTCAGGTTTTTTCACAATCATGTGTACAGAAGAGTCGAAGTACACAGGCAGCGGCGGATTAACTAGCCCAGTCAGGCTTTATATGTTTGTGTAAGGATAACTACCCGATGGATGTGCAAATATATAAGTCATGTAGATTTCTGAAATGATGCTTCTGATATATTTGACTTTGTATTTGTCTAAAGCTGACTAAAAAGAGCTGAGAGTCCCAGTCTTCCGATTATTAAGGAAATTCTATTTTAGGAGTTCCATCCATCTAATATACGATCAATAAATCAAATTTTATTAATGTAGTTCAGACGCCAGAGGCGGATGCGGATAGATATATCATATTTACTCTATTTTCCTGTGATAACAACTACTTTCTGGGTGTTTCATGATCCTTTAATCTCATTATCTTGATATGAAAATGCTTTCGTTTTCACTTTTTATTGACTTATTTTTCAGCTGATTTTAGTGGTAACAGGATAACTCTCTAACAACAGCCTCGTCACTGTGATGAGCAAGATTATTGACAGAACATTAATGTGGACGTCCTGCCTCCATCTCCCTCTACTGTATAAAAGTGAAGCCAAAATACCAGCTTGAAGGGCACTGATAAAATAACATAAGCAGACCACATTTTCATGGCTGCCATGTTCTTATAACGTCAGGCTCAATCTGGTAGTTATGATAGAGGTTATGAATGTCAGCCAAGTCACGATCTCAAGAAAACACCTGAAAGGAACTCCTTATCAAGTGAAAATTAAGTAAATGTATCTGAAACAAGTCTGCTTACAGCTTTAGTTGTATGATACCATAGACTGTATATACTATGGGCAACTTGGTTCTGCCCTCCACCAGTTTTACGGATTAGAAGCCGAAAAGCTCTCGGTACTTCTGCGATTTTTTCTCCACTTCCTGAAACCAACCGCGTATGGCGGGAGAGTCACAGAGAATCGCTGTGATGACGCTTGGCTCAAACAGCGTATCCCCTGGGTGAGCTACGCAATCCTTTTACGCCCATATGCTATATCAAGTGTCAATCATAGAAAAGATGAACCCCCTAATAACTTCTAAAAATGGAGCTACACAGAAAAAAAGAGGACTTGAGCACAAACCAGTCTTACAATAACTACATGTCAACATCACAAGCAGGGGGAGAAACATTTATATTCTGTGTAATAATTTTCTAAAGTTTGTCCACAGCTCCATAGGGATTGCTGGAGGAAGCGGGATTTATGACCTGTACTGCAGCCCGTCACCAGAGGGTGCTGTTCTCAGGGTGGCTTCACCCAACGAGGAGGCAGACGGCGTCCATTCTATATACAGTCTACGTATGATACAAAATCAACAACAAAGTCATGTCAAGATACAACACAAAAAGTCTGGACAGTTTTTCTTTGCCATAATATTTGGAGATTTGACATTTTTTCAGCATTATTAGCAATAATCAGCACATTTACATAATGTCAAATAATTTGGTTTATAGCTTTAATCAAACTGAATTGACCTAAAGTATACAATATGTGAACACGTAGTATGACTGAAATCACGTTATCACGTTATGTTGAATTTGTCATAGTTGGACACACATTTCCAGAGAAGCACTGGGTTGATTCAAGTCCAAACCGCCCCAAGTGTTCTGGGTGGATTCCACACCAGGCTTTTGACCCTATAGTTCATAGCATGTGGAGAAGGACCTCAGAAGAAGAAGAACAACAGCAACAATACGAACAAGAAGAAGAACAAGAAGAAGAAAGTTTCCCAAAAAGGAAGTAGCTGATAGGATAACAAGACTCTACTTCGAGCCACATCCCTTCTCAGCACAGCGAAGGCAGACATGCTTTTGTCAATAAATCCCCTGGTGCTTGAGCACTGGGACAAGGACAATAGTCTAATAAAGCTGCCTAATTAAGACTGTATAGCTCGCCTTAAGTGTGCTGATAAACATACTGACTGCCGGGCGAGACTGGGAGCAGAAACAGACTTACTGGAGAGCAGCTTCATGCCACGAGTTCACAGGCATTATATATCTAGTAGAGTTGCTTATTTCATAAGTGAAATAAATTGATTTAATAGGTTAACTTTTTTCCCCCTACAACTGCAGAGGAAGCAGTAAAAAAAATACATTTCTCACAAGCCCCTGACCCATCTGCACACCTCCGACAGCTCCACTGAATCATTTTTCCGCATGTTTTATCTGCCTGTAATCCTTCTCTCTCCAGGCTCTCTGACACGTTGCCTCCATTTTCCTCTGAAAAGCTGACACAGTTCATTCCCCCCTTGCACCATACTGACAGTGCCACCCAACAATAACGCACCTCTCCGGGGCTGTGAGGCAGATCAGTGCATTTCTAGCTTGACGCATACTGAAAGGTGCACCTGCTGTGTTTTTAGATTCAGGCAGTCAGTTATTTGTTTTAAAACAGATACACACACACAGACACAGACACACATGTAGAGCAGAGACAGAGCTGATTGAAGGGGGTGCAATTGCAAATAGGAGTGGGAGCTGTTTGAGTAAGTGGATAATAACTCGTGACTGATTTTATTCGTCAACATGGGGAAATTGGTGTTTCTTTTTTTTGCTTTGCCTGTTCAAACAAAAGCTTCCAGATGAAAAAAGCTCCAACCTTGAAGCTAGTCCTAGGTTAGATATATCCGTTTTTTATGCTTTTCTAGGCCCTTCAGTGCAGAGCATGCTATGGCGTGTGTAAGTTTATATATGCTGACTGAGGAGGGTCGAAGCCTGGCATGCATTGCCCTGTAGGGGATACGGTTAACTGGTAAAAGAGGTTAATTCAAAGAGACAGCCCACTATCGTCTCCAAAGCGAGCCTCTGTAGCGGTGGGAATGTCACAGCAAATATGTCAGCGACAAATAAAAGCAGCAGGGAAGGTGCTGAGCTGCGGTTCTTTTTTCCATCTTCTCATATTCAATGTGAGAGACTAAGCCAAACCTTTATCCAGCTGTCTCATCTGCTGCTTGTCTGCCGCTGGAACAAAATGATCAGTCAGACCAAATAGAGAAAAGGTAAAGCAAAAAAAAAAAAAAAAAAAGGCTGAGGCGGATATCTGTGTTTCGATTACACACACATCTGCTAAAACTTCCCCTGGGTCGCAATGGTGGTAAGAACTTGGCTTCCAAGCTATTTGCAAAAGAAATATATATTGAAAAACATCCGGCAGCAAAATATCAAGTTAGTTTTCTCTCATGTTTGGAAACAAGTAAATGAAAGCAGCTACGGCACAGACAAACATTGGATTATCAGAGCAAGCAGATTTTGACAAATAACACACGTAGTATTTTCATGAAGCATAAAAATACAGAAAACTGAAGCTGTGTTTGTCTGTTTAAAAGACAGGGAGCTGAGAAGCAGATGGGAGCAGATCTGACATCAGCAGGTTCACCCTGACAACAGAACAATGTGTACTGTCTCCTCTGTCCGGCTCCTCACCCCTGCTGGATGGCAATTAGTAAAGGAAATAAAGCAGGGCGCTCTCACTTAACCTCCTTATTGGCTGTTTCATCCTATTTCCCTTATCTCTCCTCCTGTCACACTGGGAAACCAGCCAAAACTGAGGGATGGAAAACTTTACTTTGGCTCTTTTACTTCTTGACAGCAAAGAGGAGAAACTGTTAGAAAGTGAGAGAACTAGGGTTACAATATTGATATCTGATATCAGTCCGATATCAGCAAAAAAAGAACAAGTATCGGATTATATCTGCCTGCATCTAAAACTCAAATTCAACTTTATTTTTATGGCACTTTTCATACGGAAAATACAGTTCAAAGTGCCTCACAGAGGCTAAAAACAACAAATAACGACAATAAAACTCAACCCTCCCACCTACACACCCACCCATGGACCCACATGCACACAAAGGCACACACCCACCCTCAATCACTCAGCCACACATAAACACACACACAAGTGCACACAGTGTAAGAATTTAAGATATATTGTTAAAGAGACATGGCCTGACACCGAGACATTACGTGAGGAAAGAGTTACCTCTGGGAAACACTGGAGATAAAAATGAAAATACAAATGGTTCATTTAAAAAAATTAAATGAACAGATAAGTAAGAGCTCTTTACCACATAAAAAAGGGGTAAAAGAAGTAAAAACCTATGATGGGAATTAAGAAATGACTCAGAACAGAGATAATTAATAAAATGACATAAAATAAACATTAAGAATGGCTCCAACATGAACATTTGGAATAAGAGAAATATAAAAAGGCAATTAGTGAAAAGCCTGGTTAAAAGGGTGAGTCTTGAGCCTCTTCTTAAAACCATTAACAGTCTCTGTGGCCCTGAAGCTCTCCAGCAGGCTGTTCCACAACCAGGTACCATAAAAACTGAAAGCTGCCTCCCCGTGTGTTTTTGTTTTCACTTTGGGTAAGGTTAAAAGGCCTGTGCCGGAGGACCTCAGGGTCCACAAGGGTTGATATGATAAAAATAAGTCAGATAAATAAGAAGTGCCAAGACCATTAACACATCTAAAAAATAATAAAAGAACTATAAAATCAATCCTGAAACGGACAGTTAGCAAATGCAAAATCTCTGATATCAGCACTCCAATACAAGCAGTCCATTCCAGACTCTGCTCCAACACCTCTAGCTAGCAGCGCCCAGATCCAGCATGCAGAGCCCATGTGATCACAACAACAGTGTGTACTTCAGTACTGACAAAGTAGCAAGGAGTAGGGGTGATGTCAGCCCTGTGGTGGTATTTTCTGTTTAAGTCTGAAAAAGACGTTGCAGCTGAGTGCAAAACTTGTCATGAACAATTTTGTGCGAATATTGGATCAGTATCTACAACATCGGCAACATATCATACCAAATATAACCATACAGTTATATGGATTTGTATGACAGCTTATTCATGCTCCTCAGAAGATGAATCTATCCTTTGTTTTCTACCATTGTGCTTCCTTGTGAAATACACCAAAAACATTCCTTAGGCTGGTTACCACAATAATGCAAACATTCATGGTTCCTAGATGATGCATCCTTGTACCCATGGTTACCCCCTCGACTTTCCCTCCAAACAGCTCAGCGCTGCAGTTAAAAAACTGTTAAAAAAGTTTTTCCACCGTTAAAAAAGAATCAAGGAATATCACATGGATGTTACAAATGCAGGGTGAATTGTAGGACTGTTCAGCTTAAGAGACAACACTGTCTTAGGTCAGTGAAGCTTTCTGCCCACAGATTTGAGGGCGTATGTTTCAAGGTTTATAAAATCAGTAGGCTGTAAACACTGTAGGTGTTTTTTCCTGCATCTGCTCTCTGAGAAACAAACTGAATCTGAGATTTTGAAAACATAACACCTTAGAAATTACTCATATGTCACAGGATGTTGAGCACATAAACTCCAGGACCACGAACCCTTGCTGTGAACATAGTAACAGGCTGATGTTAACATTTAGCTGAAAGCAACCACAGGAGATAAAAGCAGCTCACTAATAAATTCAGGTTCCCCAGAGTGTCAGCCCTGTCATCCTATCAATGAATGAATGTAATTACAGCCTGTATCACATTGCTGCTATAACACAGACAAGCACTCACTGAGATTATTTACAGGCTCTTGTGCGCTTAGAGCACAGTGTGAAACTTGTGTGTAAATACAGCTTCCAGCACTCCCAAATATAGGCGACATCGCACCAAGAAATCTGTGATCAGGGTGGGAAGGTAGCAGACACAGGAAATACAAGTCTGAGAGTGTGGTGGGGGAGAAATTATTATTCACCTACACATAAACACCATGATGGACACACTTTCTTTGTGGTCTCACTCCAATTACTACATTAGGCAGATCTGTGAGGCCAGCACTTTGTCTTATCTTATCTCTCTACCTTTTTTTCACCCTTTACCGTCCATTCATGCCCCCCACCCCTTCTCTCTCCTCCCCTTAGCTATTCTATTTCACAATTTGTCATGCCGCAACGACACGCTGAGGCAACGGGCACTACTGCTGGTGCCTTTGAGACGAGCCTCCCGGGGGTTGAGATAAAGCTAAGCTGACAAGTGGGTTGAGCTGCGTCACAGTGTCCTTTGAAACAGCCTCAGAAAAGGGAGGAAATGAAGGCAAGGCATGTTACGTCCAGAGGTGGCCCCCCTTTACACTTCACCTCTTGGCTCCTCCTTTCCACGCAGCTGCTGGCTTCTGCCTCGGGCTGCTTCTTCAAATAAAGCAAAGCAAATGCTGCTGTAACCAAAAACCAATCCACCCTGATGGAAGGAATCACAGAAACCATCAAATCAGCGTCCCTGTTGATTTGAAAAGCTTGTAGGATGAACTAGACCACTGAGCTGATGCATGTTCAGCACAGAAATGCAACCCTTTATTCAACACACACGCACAGGTGAGCCAGTGTAAACACCCCCTAGGAGCAGCACTCACTCTGGGGTGAATGAAGACAAATCCAACTCCCTCTCATCTTTCTTCCCTCACAGTCTTTCCTCTATTCTCACGCCCATCCCCCCTGCCAAGGAGGCCCTGGTAAATAATTGAGGCATATCCCCTCTCTGCCACTGGAGCTTCCCGAGGATTCTTTTTTTCCCCCTCCATTTTCTGAATCTCATCAATATCATTTCTAAAAAAAGGAATATTTCGCTATTTTAATATTTCATGCGCCCTACTTCCCTCTGATTTGAAAAAGGGCTTTTCCAGCTCAGGCTGAGCACATGCAGCATTAAATATGTACAGTACAGAGGCATCAGTGTTAACTTTCCCTCACAAGCAGCAGATAAACAAATCACATACTTTCACTCAGCACTACACTGAGGACTTTTTTTTGTAATAAACTGTACAGAAATCCTTAATCTCCCTATATGTAAGCGGATCATAATACAACCGATGTAATTTGAATATAATGTTGTATCTGTGATGGAGCAAAACTGACAGATCTATAACGAGGTGTTTGCTGACACCTGCTGTTTGGAAACATGAAGTCCTATTTCTACACACACAAACACAGATGATTAAAATACACATACTGTACACAGTCCATCTCTCTTTCTCTCGCAGACAAAAATGTGAGAAATAAGAGCCGCAAGTTTCTCTTCAACATAAACTTTTTATAAATATTTGAATACTTTTGTCCAATCATACAAACCTCAAACATAAATTAATTTAAATTGACATAAAAGAAAGAACAGAAAATAATCTAAGAGTGTTATCAAACATGGCTCACTCATTATTACCAATAGAAAATTAACTTATTTAAAATGAGACATAAGGCAAGGAGGCTGAAACTGTAAAAGGCCTGATAGAGGATTGATCATCTTTTTTAACATCTCAATCTTACCCCATAAAAAAATTAAAAAAACCTCCATCCCCAAAATGCAAAATGTGAAAAAACTAAAACCTCATGATGGATTTATATTAACTCTAACTAGAACTTTCTTCTTCTGACAGTGTTTTACTCATCAGCAGGTGATAATGATAACAGCAAAATATATAATATAATGCCTACCTTTGGCTTCTTTGTGCAAACTAGGGTGACTTTTAACAGCAGCTAATGCTCAGCTAAGGCTTCATCCTGCTTTACATTCATTAACTTCAGTTTACATTCAGATAGTAATCACCATCTTACCTCTGTTCAAGTTTAACATATCTGTCTTAATGTGCAATCGAGCATGCAGCAATGGCACCTGTATGTAAATAAAACTCTTCATAACTAAAACACCGCTCCAGTGATAAAACTTACAACAGTAATGAACGTTTGCTGTGTTAGAATGTGCTCTACATCCCTTTTTAAAGCAATAAGCATCAGTTTTGAGTCGAACAGGTCACTTTCGCTCTAGTATTGCTGTGTTCTTAGCTTTCTGACTCTGCAGTCTCTGGTGTATCTTCAATAACACTGGCAGAGCTCAGAGGCTCAGAAATAGTATCCTGCACCAACGGGATACTCGAGTCACTCGGGTTCTCTGCAGCGACTCCAGGGCTTACAGGGTTGTCTGGTGTTTCTGTGTTCAGAGGAGTGGTAGTGATCGTGTCACTGACACCTCCCTGTTCTGCCTCGGGGGTCTCTGATTCTTCTTCTCCCTCTGGAGACAAAGGTCTTTGGTCAACAGATGAGGTATCTTAAAAAACAAATGAAGTGCAAAGAAATTTCACATGAAAACCAGGAAGCTTTCATAGTATGCTTCTGCAAACAACAGTGTGTGATCTTTCTTGCCATGCACCAGAAAAGATAGTAAACAGGCTCTGCTATTTTCTAGCTGATTTGCACCTTTTCATTTCCACTTGGGACATGATTATTGAGTGACAGGCAGCAGATATTTTAAAAAAGACTGATAAACTGAACAAAGACATATGAGCTGGTTTTCACAGTTTTCTTCTTCTTTTAAGCAGAATGACATTCAGACTTTGTATACACTTTATTCAACAGCCCCATTCAATCACTTGTAGAGATTGTGGAGGTACTTACCCAAGCTCGTCTGATCACAAGAGTCATCTCCATGATTAGCAAACATGGAGCACTGGCTAATGTCATTGTTTGAAACCATGTCGGTCAAATCTGGAGTCTTTGCTTCAGGTAATTTGGAAACATCTGAAATTCACAAAGAACAAATATCTGCTCCGTTCTGTGTTTTGAAAATAGTATAAAGAACAAACTCTTCCATCTTAAACTGGACTTGGTTACCTAAGTCTACAGCCGGTTGTGTGGGTGAGGTTTCACACAAGTCCTGCACCGCTTCTTTGATTTGATTCAAATCTATTTCACTGACGCTGGACGGGCTGAGCTCAGAAGCTGAGGGCACCTGAAAACAGAAAATGTTGTGATTTGGAGTGAAACAAGTGTCCACAGAAGTCTAGATCAGACAATATTTCAGAAAAGGTGAAATGACCTCAGTCTGTTCAGTTGGCGCCTGCTCTTCACTGCTGTGAAGAACCACAGGTGACTGCAGAGGTGTTTTCTGGGGGGTGCTGGGCTGAGCCAGACGAGTTGGGATTCTGTGCAAGTAGCCATAGCCAATGCCACAGCCTAAACTAATTTGTAACACAAATGCAACAACAAGGGTATAACTATAAATATTTTAAGAGCCTGTTCATACTCAGGTTGCATGATAAAATCCTCCCCTACCTCCCCTCTCCTCCCCACGCTCCGTTTGGAGTCACCACCACCTCTCTGCATTGGTCCGTCTGTGTGTTGTACACCAGCAACTTCAGCGGTTTCCCCTCATTAGCTTCAATCAAGGAGAAGAAATCCTCTGACTGCAAGGGTTACACAAAAAGACAGGAATCTCGGCTACTGTACTGTTTTAGTTTTAAACTTTTGAAAAATAGATAAAGCAGGGCAGCTTACGTCCTGCAACACCTGGTCAGCTCCCACAATGAAGTCACTGTGCGCATGAAGGCCGGCCAGAGCAGCAGGAGAGCTGGGTTCAACATCCTAAAATAGATAGTGTTTATTTAAAACCACTGAATTAAACTAACTTAAAATAACACAGTGAAACAAGATTTGAAGATTAAGGACAAAACCGGCAAATCTGTTGTTCCAAACAGACAAATCACGGATACTATCTCAAATCAGCTCTTTTTGAAAACAGAAAAAGTTGGAGGATAGCCCATACTGAGCTAAACTTGACTTACCAGGACATGCCAAACATTTTCATTGGCTCCCTCAAAGCTACAGAATCGAACACTGGCGCCCAGCAGACCCTGACCGCCCCACATGTTACTGGGGGTCACCTCCAGCTCCCTCACCCGCTGGGTTTTCGAGTTGTATACTTCAAGTTTGACCGCTTTCTCCACATTGGCTTTGAGCAGGTCTTTCAGCAAATCACTTTCTTTATTCTGAAGGAATAGAGATATGTGGCTGATGGTATTACGGCTGTCATATGAGAAGATAAAATTAAATGAGATGAAAGTAGACTGCGGGACCGCTTTTTAGTTTTAGTTTTAATTCATCATGGTAAATAAAAAAGAAGCCATTATCAGTATGAGACAATGTTAAAAATCAACAAATGAACACAAAGTCAGGTCCAGGATTAAATATAGAAATAAATCTGTGTTGCTTAATCAAATATCATCTAACTCTGATAAAAGTGCTTAATATATTTGAAAAAAATAAAGGTCAAACATTCAGAATGTACACCAGAAATGTTTCACAACTGCAGCAAAATCATAAAATAAACAGGATATGTTAAACAGATCACAAAAAAGGTTATTAGAGAGCATCTCATGACACTTCTTATATTATTATCCACTGTTCATATTTCACTGTTATAAATTAAATACTGCTTTAAAACTACCTTAATCTTCACCTTGTCAAACTATTTCCCAGTAATCTTCATAATTATGCAAACATCACACTTTTTTTTCTTCATCAAATTTTAAATAAAGGAAATAATAATAATAATAATGATGATGATAATAATAATAATAATAATTAACAAATAATTGTGGTAATAATAATAATATTAACAATAATAATAATAATAATAATAATAATAATAATAATAATAATAATAAAACAAGTAATTTTGGTAATAATCATAATAATAATAATAACAATAAATAATTGTGGTAGTAATAATAATAATAATAATAATAATAATAATAATAAAATAATAATTATCCTTTTTTAAGTACAGTTCATTCAGTGCATGCCAGTGATTTCTTTGTTCTGCTCATGGTCATTAATAATGTAAACCAACCTACACAAAAGCATCATAGGATTTTACTCACAAGTCTTGCATTTCCTATAGAGAGGATGAAGTCAAAGAAAGGCTCCAGACCAGCTTTCAGGGCAGGGGAGTGCTCTTGAATCTGAAATATTCATTTAATAAATACTAATTAGTGAAAAGAAGTTTATATGACATGAAACCTGAGTGTGCCCTCTTGTGTCAATTAAAGATATTACACTTTCTGGAATTTTTGGGCTCCTCAAAGCGAGATTCCTGCACCACAATATGATGGACAGGACGATAAATATCTCAATAATTCACCCCATAAAGTTTGACATGTAGACCTGCAGACAGCAACTGTCATGCGCGAGGCTACATAGTTTGGGCGCGTGCCAAATGCCACCTCATCATGGGCGGACACCTTGACGGTTTGACTTGTACTACACTTTGAAAAATGACATGACAACCCTAAACTAGCGTGTCAGTCTCTTCTACAGTGAGTGCACTATCAATACATGCCCCAGTTTGGCACAGTGTTCAAGTAAATAAGCCAAAAAGTCAAACGGGCTAGTACAAGAACTCACCCCGTGCACGTGATATCCACAATGACTTCCCCCGTCCGCCAGGAAAGAGCTCTGTGGCAGCCCCATGGCCCGCAGCAGAAAAAATACAACCTGAGTGTCACTGAGGTAGAGAAATGTTGGAAGTCATCACTGAAAGCTATACAGCTGATTCAAGCTAGCTAGCGCCGACAGCGGAGGTAGAGTGGCAGCAGGCGCTCCGGGGGCTAGGCAAAGCTAATAAATAAAGATGCCAGAGCAATGGAGCTGTGCGGCGCTCGATTAGCCGTCCTCCTCGGTGAGAAGAGTCGGTCAGGGAGGTCGATGAAAGGTGTAATTTTATGTCTGAGGCAAAAACAAGTCTAGGAGTATCAGATTGAGTTGATTCATTTTGTCTGACTATTATTATCATTATTCCTACTACTACTACTACTACTACTACTACACTACACAAGATATACTATTCAGAGAGTGGGTCTGAATTGCTCCTAAAGTGAAAAGGAGTGAAAAGGGGGACACAGGGTAGGGGAGAGTGGGGTAAGATGATCCTTTTTTCATATTTCGGATCACTACATCAAGGCAATCCTAGTTTTGTCTCTAACTAGTGTATCTGCATATATTTCAAGATGTTGTGCATCCCTGCAAACCAACAGAATGAGTGTAAACATAACTGTCTTGATAATATAGCATGCCAAAAAAAGTGGTCTCCTATGGTCAACTTACCCCGTGTATGGGGTCTCCACTCCAGCCCTCCCTCACCTTCTCTCTCCCTAAGTAACAGTCACTTGTGTATTTTAATCTATTATACACTATGCAACTAGTACAATAATTCTTGTTATTATTATTGAATATAACTGCTAAAAAGCTGTTTTGTAAAAAGTCATTTTAACATGAGAATGTCTTTAAGTGATTCAGAATATTCACAGCTGTATTTCTGAAAAGAAAAAGTAACACATTTCAACAATCTGAACTGAACTCTGATCCTCTCATCAGACTCCTTTACTTTCTCAGTTAAGCCACTGGCTCAGTTTACCCCAGAACTACTATTATGACTTTATTAGTCCTCTAAGCTAAAATGGTGGACTTTTATGCTAGGTTTTTGACCTCATGTTGTAGCTCATAGATACCATTATTTGATCAATGTCTTTAACCATTTCCAAGCAACAGGAGGTGGCTCAACTTACCCTTTGGCTCAACTTACCCCAGTCTCCCCTACACAGAACAGAATGACTTAAAATTACACCAAAATTGTTGCTCTTTTTGTAACAGCACATTAAAATAAAACATTATTTCTCCAGTTTACAAAGATAAAAATATCTTAGCCTAATACTTTTCAAATTTTGCACTTAAATGTGATAAATTATGTGTAAATAAATAATGTGATAAATTCTAGTTTGCATCGAACATGATGAAAATGTGACCAGAATAAGAAAGAGCTGACACCCGAAGTGTACAGGTTTCTCTATTATTGGTCCTTATTTGGTCTCATTTAGCTATTAAACCTGAGTGTTAAGTATTCAAAATTAAGTATAAAGGTTTCAATAACCATGAAAGTCATCACAACAAAATAGAATAAGAACAACTATATTGATCTTTGAAAACAACACACATACACAAGCACCTATTCTTCTAAATGCAGCCTCATAATCAAACACATCTTCAGATAAAGTACTTTGAACAGGCTGTGGAACACTGTGTTATTTCCAAGAGTGGTTACTAATTCAAATACTTATCTGTAGGAAATTTTGTGTTTGAATTTCACTCCCTGCACGTGGTTTGGTCGAATTTGCCTGCATAATGCACCTGCTATTTTCCCACCATGATAAGAGTATGAGCTCCTGTTTTCAACATTTTTGAATTCAGAAAAAATACATGCAATAAAAATACTCATTTTTAAATCCATTTTCATGGCTCTGGAGAGATTTGTCAGGTTGTTAGTTTTCTTTGCAGTAAAATCTTAACCAAACTGTTGGCCATACCTTATCATCCCATGAGAGAGTCTGGAAGATATTCATGATTGCCCACATGGATCACTGATATTGGCAGGTAATTTAATGGTTGCTCAACACTTTCTGTAGCTCTGCCAGTTTCTGAGGCTTATAAATAGTTAAAAGCACACCTTTGCAGCTCCTAACTGCTCCAAGATGATGAGACTTCTGGCTTTTCTGTCCTGCATTGGTAAGCTGCACAAGAAGCTCATTCAGGGTAAGAAGTTATTAAATGATGATTGAAAGGATAACACCACTGTGCTCTCTGTTCACTTTTACACCAAAGGGCTCATTTGGGCTGAGGCCCCCTTCAACCACAATGTGCACAATGAGAGAGTCATCGGAGGCAGCAATGCCGACCCCAACACCTGGAAATGGCAGGTAAAATGATGATGCTTTTGTTGGAAATGGGATTGTCTAAACAATCAAACTTGTTCCTAATTCCTGTATTTTTGACTGTCTGCTTTTGTCTCAGATTTCTCTCCAGTATGATTCATACAACGATGGCTCTTACTACCACATGTGTGGAGGCTCCATCATTGATGGTTTCCATGTGATGACAGCAGCTCACTGTATCTTCGGGTTAGCTTTTTTACTGCTTCTTATTTATATCAACACACACCTACAATGAAATAATGTCAACTCAAATGCTCCAAGTTGTTCTGTTTTGTAGTACTTCTCGGCTAAAACTACAATTGTAGTGAGTGTTTGTGTTTCCGTCATCTATCAGTACGGATCCTCGTGGGTACCGTGTGGTTGCTGGAGAGTACAACCTGTATGAGTACGACGGCAGTGAGCAGTTCATCGATGTGGAAAGGATCCATGTCCATCCCAAATGGACCGGAGAACTGGGCAACGGGTAAACATCAGAAACCTAGACCGTCTCGATTCATTTAGGCTTGTCTTCAAAAATGAACTTTATTGACAAGGGCTGTATCAAGTATGCATCAGTATGTTATCACTTTTTAGAGAGCATTAGAAAAAGGGCAACAGCAGTACTTTTAATATCTTCTCACATTCAAACCAAAACATTTAAAACCATGCTGAGTAAAACAAAGGCTACTTGCAACTTTGATAATGATCACTTTCTTAATATTATTGCTTTTTAAATCAATTTTTATGTTCTTTGTTAGAAATGACATTGCTATCCTGAGACTGGCTCAGCCTGTGTATGACAACGGCTATGTTGCCATTGCTGAGCTCCCCGCTCCTGAACAGATGCTGCCTCATGACTTCACCTGTTACATCACCGGCTGGGGTCTTATGGACTGTGAGAAAGCACCTACACACACACGCACGCACACGCAATCACCCACACACGTACGCACGCACGCACGCACGCACGCACGCACACACACACAATGTTTTTTTCTGATGCACAACATCGATGCCATTATGATAATAATGCCCTCTTTACTCCTTTCACAGATGTGGGAACCACCCCTGAAATTCTGCAGGAGGCTCCTATCAATGTGGTGGAGCATTCAATCTGCTCTCAGCATGAGTGGTGGGGTAGCATTGCTCTGAAAAATATGGTGTGTGCCGGAGGTGATGGAGTCATTTCAGGTTGCCAGGTACTGTGAACATATGTGTACATTGGCTTGATGCAGGGCTGTGTTCTTAAACCAGTTTAACCCAACCCTGTGCAAACATTCAAACATACAGTATTTTTCTTTTAAGGTCAGGGAACCTGAGAACATTTCTCATGTTAAACCCAATATTGGCACAGCTGTGATAACCTACTGTGATAACCGTGCTGATATTTGATACACATCACTGGCACATCTTCAACTAAGTAAAGCCCGTGTTAAAGAGGCTATTAAAGAGGCAATGTCCCATTTTATTGCATAGTCTACAAACTGGATCCCCTAACTCCTATGTCTCTCTTATTGCTTCCTGTCACAGGGTGACTCCGGAGGTCCCCTGAACTGTTTCACCGACGGAGCCTGGAGGGTCCACGGTGTCGTCAGTTATGGACCATCTGGTATGTGCAACCAGTGGAGGAAGCCAACTGTCTTCACCAGAGTCTCATTCTTTGAGGACTGGATCTTCTCAGTAAGTCTTCAAACCTCACTGTTTTTTCTTTGCATATTTTCGCTCCTAAATTTCTCTTTTTTTTTTTTTTTACAGATTACCAGATAAAACCTACTGAGGAATGTGTCTTTCCACGCTGAAAAAAACAAGCACTCAAATAAAATGAACATGCATCTAATTTGTTTGTACGTGTATTTCATTTATGAACGTTTCCTTGCAGTTTTTCATTTAACCAGAAGGTGGCGACAGTTCTTCATATGCTAAAAAACTGACCAGCTCCTGTGAGGTTTTGATAAAGTTCTAGGCACCCCAGTGCTTTCCCAGAAATGAGTTGCTTGTTGGACTAAATTTTTCCTAGTTCTTACAGCCAGTTTAAAAGTGGGGCCACACTTAAAGGATAATCAGTCCAACAGCAACAAAGGAAAGGTAAAAATCCTCCATGTTTTGGACCAAAGACTGTAGAGTCTGGTGAAAAAGTCAGAAGTCAAACCCCGCACTTAAAATCACAAAGGAGAACCTCGAGTGTCTCCTTTAGACTTCATGAACCCTGTCTCTTAATGGTGGCCAAACCTGAGATCTATCCAGTCACTGGCCTGTGTGGAATTTCTTCCCATGTGTTTGTGGTGGGAGTCAGGAGACTACAGCATGACATCACATCAAGTGTTTCCCCTCTAACCATGGAGACCAAAAACCACCGATGCATTCCTGTGGTTTAGATGAAAAATAAACTAAAAGAATGTCAATTTATCCAATTCAAGTCTGAACTGCCTTCTTATGCCTTTAAAGCTAAATAAAGCTTAAAGAGTTTAAAGCATATAACCATTGAGGATTTTTAGTGAGGAAGCAAAGAGATAATCAAACAAAGGAAACTGCATGGGCACATTTGCTTATCAGCTGCTTCTAATACTCACAAACGTGGTGTCAAGTTCCCTTGAACAAAACACAACCAACAACAGAGTCAAGCTTTTAGAAAATGTCTTCTTTTATTATTATTTGGAGGGACAGGCTGTCAAAATGGCTTGGATGAGAGAAACTGTTTTTGAACAGCAGGTTAAAGTGTGAATATGTAAAAAATAAAGCAGCTTTGTTTGCTCTGCAGGACCATTCAAGCAGAAATATGTACAACACAAAAGGCAAAGAAGTAAGACACATTTCTTTGAAAATAAAATTTAAAAAAAGCTGTACTGTAATACATTACATTGATAAACACTCACTGTTGCCATTTCTTCATGAGACTTGATGTTTTATACAAGAGAAACAAATGTTTGCTTGCAAAATTCAGTGCCCTCTTCATGGCATAAGAACATATACCGGATGGATTTCAACGTAATCAAAAAGGCAAAAAGCGAATAATACATTTCTGATGTGCACTCTGCACTTTTCAAAGTATACAATTAATCAGAACAAGTTTTAACAAACAGGACCTGCATGCATAATTTCTAAAGGGTCCAGAAAGGCTGCTGAAACAGCTGTAGAAAGGGTGAGATATGTACATCAACTCTCTAGTGTCCTCAACTGTTCACACAGGCGACAGCACAATCACCTTTGATAGGGCTTGTTCTGTAATTAATGAGGCAACAATTCAATTTTTCAGGGTTTGAGTGTGTGATAAAAACTGTATAATATATGCAGTTTTTATCCACCAAACCCTTTACATGTGTATTTTAAAACATAGTGTAACCCGAGTCACAGACTTCCAGAATACAATCAAATTGATCTTTGCAATTTTTCTTAGTTTTAGTGGCATTTTTACGAAGATATTAAACCATAAGACTGCCTATGAAAAATACCTCTGAATGCTTGAGAGTAATAACCTTCATAAGTAGACATTTCTCTATAATTCATATATTACAAAGGTTGTCCCAGATTGAAAATGACTCATTTTGTTTCTTAATAAAATATTCAATTTGTCAGTGATTAGAATTCTTTTGTCAACCTACATAAATTAGTTACAAAATATTAGTGTAATTTTCTATGGTTACATTATAGGCAGCGATACATTAGACCCACCATCTAGTTTCAGTGATTAGGGAGATCCACAGTTTTCAGTCCCAAAGCTTAAATGGAAGCACTGTGCACACACCATCGGCAGGCATGGCTCCCCTGATAAGCAGGCACATCCAGTAAACTTCACAACACCTCATCTTTATTGCCAAAACATCTTAAATTAAATTACTAAATGAAATGATGACTTTATAATTTACCAAAAAGAAAAAAAAAAAGGAAAAGAATAAGAGTATAGATATTAAATACTTTCTGATGGACTTGTGGTCCCGTTTCCCGTATCATTGCCTAAATGTGATATGGAAAAAAGGAAGAAGGATTGCACTTTTAGGTGAAAATATCAAACCACAGTGCTTCTTGAGTGAACGTAGGCATTATCTGAAATAAATAAAAATAAAATCATAAAGGAAATAATTTAAAACAAGAGGAAAAATAACAATACAGCTACAGCTTTTGATGGTATGAGAGTTATTTCCTGTTACCCAGCTCATAAATAAGGAACTCCATAATTTAGCATTGAACTGTTGAATCGATCCCATACAACCAAAACAATGCCTATTCATACATAGCTATTTTCACAGATAAAGTGCTGATTGAGGAGCTTTTTAGAGGGATTTTTTTTGTACCATATATACCATAAACCTAGAGAAATCTCAAGGAGAAAGAGTCCGCCAGACTGTTTCTCGTCGACTCAAGGACACGAACCGGACTATGTTGGTTTTCATATGAAGGCCATCACAGCAATGGTCACCATACATTGCCTCCAAAAGCTAGAAAGCTAGAAAAAATCCCTGAGGTGCACATTCAGCTGTGTTGAGATTCCCAACCTGGCCCCAGTTATGGTTAAAGATTCCTGTTCAGCATACAGTCAGTGATCTTGGTTTGGTTAAAAGAGCTTTCTTAGGAATTGAGAGCCTTCATTGGTTTCAATGGGCCTGGTCGAATTGATCTCTATTTTTGTATCTTTTAACACTAGCTGCCATCTCACACAGCAATAAATCCCACAATGCTTTGCTAACGTTTTGAAGGCAAGTCTGGAATTTGAACATTTATTTAGGCAAGAGGGACATCACAGCTTCCTCAAAAATCAACTTCTTATGTGCATGTTTCGTCCCCTCACAAAGAAACCCCTGTTCTTGATTTTTTTTTTTTTGCACTGTCCACATATTTTTGTCAAACTTTCACAGACTCCATCACAGACAATTTCATGGCTTCCTCCAACAGCTGATTGTCTGTAAAAGTTGCAGGGGGTTCTGGGACGGACTCTGAAAGACCAATGAGTGACTCCAGGAGGCACGTCCCTGGGTCGCTCACCGGGGGGAGACTGGGGTAACTAGGCAACTGAAACTGGAAAAAGTTGTCCATGTGTTCGTACTCCTTCAGGGAGTTGTAGAGTGAGCTGGGTCCCAAGCAGGGGAAACCATCAAAGAACTCTAGATCGGACTCTGATGAGAGGCTAAGGTCCATGTTGTAGCTCGCAGAGCGATCCACGGTCGGTGAGGGCGTTCGTGGTACACTGCTGCTGTGAAAGAGAGCGTTGCCTTGGTTGGCGTTCTCATCTAAAAGTTCTGAGATGGCCATTGCTCGATTGTCCATGTGATCGTCCAACAAAGCAGCATCTATATTGTCATTCTCATCTGCAAAATCCACCATGCTAAAGCTCCTGAAAGCCTCTGTAGATGGCTGCTGCTGCTGCTGCTGTTGTTCTTGGCAGCACATGTCTTTACGCTCCACGCCGTCCCTGCTACTCCTCGAGCAGTTCTCTGTATCGCTGAAACTAAGAATGCGGCTCAAGCCTTTCTCGTCAACGTCCAGCTGGGTGCGATTCTCACACAGGCCCTCGCCCCCCTCCGAGTACTCACTCTGACCCGATGAGTCCGAGTCCGTCATGTCGCTGCTGCAGCTGTTGTCCCCAGCTGCCGTCTGTTCAGAGCTAAAGGGAAAAGAGGGCACTGCTGGTAAGGTGTTGGCCCCTGTTGTGGTCTCATCCTCCTCTTCCTCAGTGCTAGACTGCTCCTCCAGCCTCTTCTCTAACTCCAGCTTCATGATCGTGTGGATGTAATGTGTCTGTACCCTGGTGGAGTTGAACTCGATGCGACCCTCAGTGTTTCCACAGCCGTCCTTGGTGCAGCCACATGGAAAAGAGGAATGATCCATCTGTGAGAAGAAGAGGAAGTTAAGTTTCAGTAAAATAAAGTTACTAAAAAAAAAGATCCACACTTATTGTATTTCAAGCCTTTAAACGCTGATCCTCTTTTAAGCTCTTACCTGACATTTAATGCCAGCCAAGCTGCAGCTACACGTCTCAGGCTCGCAGAAACCCTGGCAGTCGCAACCGCAGTTTTCCCTTGAGATCCTCAGATCGTGCAGCTGCCTTTTCTCCTCCTTGTCGATCTTCTTCACGCCGGCAGCTTTAAGGATAGAATAGCGACGTTTAGGTGGGTAAGGCTGGAGGAAGGAACCCTCGTCCAGGTTGGCCCCGCTGATGTCGATGTCCTGCTCGGGGATATCATCCACCGTCAGTCGCTCTGCCTCTTCACTTTCTTGAGTTCCGTTCTTAGTCAGCTAAAGAAAAATTGAACATCAGTTAATTATGAATCAGGATAATTAGATGTTTATTAAGCACTATTATTCCATTACTGTTATTAGCATAGAGATTTCTATCATTACCAGTAATGGTATTCGTCTCCAGTCGGCCAATTTACCAATCAATATCAAAACAAATAGCTCCACAGATCCAAAAACATTTTGGCTTTCTAATAATGTTATGTGTTTTTTAACTGCAGTACAGCCAAGATCTTAGACAGACTTTGGGTCAGCTGTTCTCACCTTCAGTCGGAGAGCCTCCAGCTTTTCCTCCCTGAGCCTGTTGAGGAGTTTTTCCTGCCGGAGGAGCCGCTGCTCCACAGCAAACTCAGCCAGCGTGTACGTTTGGAGCACGCTGTGGCGTTGCATCATGCCCAGAGTGCATCCTCCTCGACTGGGAACGCTGGTGAAGCCTTGGCACCGAGGGAAGAAGAACACTGACACCTGATCAAAGGTGACATTACCCCGTCGTGCTCTCTTGGATTTCTTGAGAATTGATGTGGCTGTGGGAAGAGAAACGGTGGATTTAGGATAAGAGGATACTGGTGCAATGGTTTCAATGACTTCAATTGCATTTATGTACCACTAGATGGCATAATCCCCCATCATATGAAGTCATGGGATGAGTACCAACCCCGCTGAACAGACTGTAAAAGGACACCCCTCTGATTCATTGCCCTAGTCTCCAACCAAGCCTTATCATGTACCCAATTAAAAGACACTGCTAACAGGAGTCCGACACACTTACATCCTGTAAAGTGAAACCTTAACCGCCAAGAATTCCCTCAGCCTCCTTTCTTGTCCCAGTGTGCGACACAAAACCACCCTGCCCAGGAATTTCCTCTCAGTGGCAGACATTGTGGAGGAAGCGGAGCTGCCAGGATCACACAAACTGGTGAGTTAATGCTCGGGGCTTCCGGGAGAGCGGGAGAGTGGAAGTACAGCTCTCAGGATGGGAATAAAATCTGCCCACCCTGGCTCTCCCTCCAAGCTGAAAATTCCCGCAAATGGCCCAGTTACTGAGAAGGAGTCAAAGGTCTCTTCTCTGTGAAAAACATTCAGCCAGCAGACATCTCTCTGCGCCCAGACGAATACAATAAAACCATATGGGAATCAGAATGGAACCATATGTGGGAACAAGCCCAACAAGTACTCCTGAATTATCATACATTCAACTTCCTTTGCCCAGATATATTGGACATGACTTTTTGGGCAACCTGAGCTGTCTTTGAGAGTAACAGAGACGTATGCTAAGACTCCACATGATGGGGAATTCCTTGAAGATTTCCATTTTTCAAGTTTTGGCACTCACTTCGGGCACACCCTGCACAACCACCTGAATGAGTCGTAAGAGTCAAATGAGAAAATTTGCCTGTGATGATCCAGGAAAGCAACCATTACTCCAATGCAGCTCAAGCAACAGCCTTACTATGTTGTTTAATCTGCCGCTGGGGGTAATAGAGATGAAACAAACTGCCAGTTTCAGCGTCACATCCATCAAATCCAGTCAGGCTTATGACACCTGCAGGAGACAAATGACACCTCCTCTGCTGCTCCAAATGGGAGCGCTTTGCTGGCTGTTTCCCCTCCTTTCACTTTACAATGGCATGCAACTTTCCGTCCAACACAAACACAAGATTTATACTGGTCTGCTCAATCTGCCGTCTTTTCTTGATAGGCCTAACCCCTCTCTTTTTGTATTCCTTCACCCAGCCTCTTTCAGCACCTGTGCTGGGTGCATGCCCGGGCTTCAAGACAAGGCTCTGTGTGTTCCCCGGCCCTGGCAACCTGCCACGCTTTTCTCCTCCTGGCTCTCTGCCCCACCATCCTGGAAACCTCACAACTGTTTGCCCTTCTCCCCCCTACAATCCTTCTCCCAACACGACTGGACCTCTTGAGGCCAGCTAGTAGCACCCCCAGGTCCAGACAGAGACACCCTGAAGCAGCTTGCTCCGCATCTTTAGAGGGAAAGGTGATGCTTTTTTTTTCTGTCTGCAAGTCTCAGGGAGGAAAGGTGTGGAGCCAGCCAAGGTGAGCAGCCACTGCATAATGCGATTAGCCATTTTGCAGCTTTAGGGCATGAAATCAAAAGGGGTATTCATTGCAGAAGTCTGAAATCATTTCTGTAAAGTGTTTCATGAGCTGCCAGCTGCCTAAATTCCTTAACTCTCCTCCATTTTTATGGGTTTGTTATCAGAGTCCTCCGTGGAGCAGTAAAGACAAGGCGAGGGAGCGCGTTAAAAAGCATGTTCCATCAGCTCTTTCTATGATTTATCGTCGCAGGAAGAGGACACTCACTGTTGAAATGTGTTGCTGGGGAGCTGGGGTTGCTTGGAGTGGAATCGAGGGTGTCCGAGTAGCAGCTCTCTCCCTCTGAGTCCCAGCCTGAGCAGGCAGAGGAGAGGGAGGAGGGCGAGGAGTAGCAGGGGTCCTCATCCACCTCCTCAAACTTCCTCTTGAGAAGCCCACTCATGGCGTCAGCACGAACAATCTAAAAGGAAAGGAGCATACAGAGGGGTTATTAGCAGGTGATTTGCATTTATTTGAAGCTGTATCATATGAGTTTGTCTGTGTTGCACAGAAGCTATTGTACACACATGGCCTTTTTTTTTTTTTACAGTGTTGTTGAAACAGGCCAGTCCTGTGCTCAGCCATGTGAGACTGTAGGCATCCAAATCTCGTGCTGCACTCAGCTGAGAGTGGAAATAAGCCATGGCACAGGAAGCAATCAATCAGGCCTATTCACACAAGTCAACAATTACTGGACCCTTTGCCCTCTTCTAAATCCCATCAGCTCAGCAAATGCATTGATTAGAGAGAAGAAACCGAGCACAGAGGGTGACCAAATCATGGAGACATAGACTTTTAATTTTAATCATTATCTTTAAGCAGCTATAGCAATCGAATCTGCGAGTCAAGGCCAGGGCAATTTGCAGTGCTTCCCGTTTCATGTTGCCTTCAGAGTAAATATGTCCAGCCTTGCATGGTTAGGATGTTTTCTTATGCAACTCGTGCATGTGTTCTTTCAGGGCTCCCGTGAGAAGGGCTGCTGGTTCAGCGATAAAAACAATCAATCCTTTGAGAGAGACAGGCAGGCAGGCAGGCAGGCAGGCAGGCGGGGAAACAAGAGGGGGAAAAAAAGATCTCTAGTTCATGAGAAAAAGGAGAATCATTTACTCCCTAATTTCTCAAACAGAGCCTAATACCTGTATAAACATCCCCCATGTGATACTTTCATTGAAACCTTTAAATCTTCTTGAAACAATGATTTATGCTCGCACAGATTGTCCACTTCTCACAGCTTGTTCCAGGAGAAACAAAAACCCCTGACATGAAAAATGAACATGTTGGATGAGAGCGAAGGTTTATTGTCGGGGTGTTTTACGGTTATGATGTAAATGCCTCACAAAGCTCTGACAAACAACAGGCAATTCTCTTCACAACTTCTGGAGAGCGCAAAGGCAAAAGATGGGTCATCACCATCCCAGTCTGGGAGTTGAGTTCCGACTGACTGCAACAAGGAGGGACTGAAGGGAGGAGGGAGGGAGGAAGGAAGGAAGCGGGAAGGGGAGAGGGAAGACATGACTGGGCTGGTGGCCAGCACAGACACTCCCTTGGATGATGTGGAATGGGAAAGGAGGCTTTTACTTTCCCCATAAAGAGATCATTTCACCATCAAACTGTTTACTGTCTGCAGTATCACAGCCAAATCACTTACAGCTGCAGCAGCTCCAGCATGTTATGAATGCACTTCAATTTTGAGGTTATTCTTAGCCGTGTTTGTCCAAATATTTGCTTTGTCGCACCTGTAATTTTGTTGAAAATGTTCACAAAGATGGCGTGGATGGATCTTTTTCTGGATAATTAACAATCTTTAAATGTATGTTCTGAGTATAGTTATGGGCTAGCTCAGACATACAGACAACAAGCTTTCCTGCCGATGTACAAATTTGTCACCGTGGCAAGATCCTCCAAGGGCTTTTGAGGAACTTTAACTCCATCTCTTAGCTGCATGCCTGGATGTTATGCAAGCGTCAGCACTCAAGGAACAGGGAAAAAAAAAAAACGAACAGGTATACAAGGAAGGGGTCAATCTCTGCGTGCAACAGGGAGCAATTATGCAAACGCAGTCATGCCTTTTGACAAAGAGAAGTGAACGTCAAGGGCAAGCGGATGACACCTTTGTTGCAGGCATACACCAGGTTATTGTTATTGCTGCAGTCAGATATTGCTGTCCCCAGTGTGCATATGATAAATGAATCACCTTGCAATAGGTCAAGCATGCACTACACTGTCTCTGCAACAAACAAAAAGGCATCCTTTTACAATGTGACCACCTCAGGGCTCGAGCACGCTGAACGTACGCAAACCAGGAGGAAAAAGAGCCGCTCACTTCCCATCTAGCAGTAAATCATCTTCGGATGTAATAATAATATCACTTCATATGAGATTTGGGTTGAAACAATTTGGAAACACCTGGATCTGCATCTGTTGCTATGCGTGCACTGATCAGACAACAAGTGTGCGCTTAGGAAAACACACTACAAAAAAAGAGAGCGCACATGGGTTCACCTTACATTTTTGCCTCTCGCTTAGGGTAGAAAAAATGAAAACAAAGCTGCGAGGCATCCTCGAGGGAGTGCAGAGCGCCAGCTAAGCAAAGTCTTTTTAATTAAAAGCTGCAGTGAGGCAGAAGTGGGAGGAGAAGGGATGGATGTGGAGAGGGGGGGCATGGTGTCAGAACTGGGTCATTGTCTCTTGACTGCAGTCTACCTGACACATTGATTTGTTAATCCTGTTCAACGGGCAGAAACAATGGTGAGAGGTTAATCCTGGCAAGGGGGATGGCTTGTAGTCAATCTGGAGCTTCTCAGCCTGCTCAGCCACTGCACCCACAGAACAAGGCCAAGAGAGCAGCCAGAGGAAAGGAGCAGGAGGGTAAATTGAAATCAAAAAGACAACAATCATGCAGGAGGAAAAATGTGGAGAGATTTGTAGAAAAGGAGATTTTTTTTAGAAAGGAGCGCTTGTTAATGCCTGCCTCTAAACCGAGAATGGATGTGATCGGACAGCCAGAGAGAGCCAAAGAGGAGAGGGAGCGCAGCATGTTTTCAACGTGCGCTAAATTATGCATCACTGTCATTCCATCAACCGCACACAGGCAGGCAGATAAAGGATGCATCCGCTGAGGTGCTCCCCAGCCAGTTGTCACAGAGTTGGGAAGATAAATCTCTGGTGAGAAGATTTGTCACCAGAAGCACTACAGAGCTCAAGTCAGATACATAACTATGTCAGTCGAATAAGATTATCCGGATACATGCAGCTACAGGCTGATAATGTGAATTCAGAGTGCCAATTCATTCCTGTTTTATCTGCAGACGGCTACTCGAGTTTTTATGAAGGAATCTCCACAGCAGCTGCTAACATTGCTAAATAAGCTAATAAATTCGTAGCCTATTATCTACAACTAATGAACCATATTGACATGGCTGCCATTTCCATTTGTTGTCGCCTACACTGGGGGTAAAAAAGGAACATAGCGAAAAGCTGTTAACAGGATATTGATAGGCTAAATTTGTTGACTTATTAGTGCTTATAAATAACAAAAGATAATGTTCTCCAGCTGTCGTCACATGTTCAAATATTTTGTTTCAACCATTTGAGACTTAGTAAAATGACAGATAATGAGTTGTTAAAGTTACATTTTTAGCAAACTTGCAACCCAGGAATCCTTGAAATGACCACCTGAAGACATGTTTCTGAATGGGACAAAGCAACGTTGATATTTTTCTCAATCAGAGAAGCAAAGCAGAGAAAAAAAGAGAATAAAAATCTGAATCCTAAAAGCTTAGAGGAATCCCTGCATCTGTGGAGTCGCCACACAGCAGCCTGTTTAAACTGCCCCCGTCTGCCCTGCAGCCTGACAGGACAAGTCACAGTTGACTTTGCCCCTGTCTGCTGCCTGTCCAGCCTCTTTGTGGCTGATAACAGTGTGAGCGGAAGCCACAAGTCGCACCAAACTCAGCCAGCAGTGACTATTTACATGGTGCACTGACAACCCTACGCACTGTCTGAATGAGTGACTGACTGAGTTGAGTGCTCATAAAATGTGATAATGATGAGCCTGGGAGTCTTCCTGCGTGTGGGGAAGCGTGTCCAGGCAGGCCACCTCCCCTTCTTCTCCTCCTCCAGGCTTCATGGTATTGCACCTCTCACTTCCAGCTCTGTCACGGAGGAGACGGAGGTAATTGATCAGAGCCATCAAGGTGACGGCTGGAGGGGAAACACTCAGCTCATTTCTTCAGCTGCGTGACTCAAAAGCACTCCACCTGCTGGAACAAAGCAGGGAGAGCTGTTGCCGCTGCTGCTGCTGCTGCTGCCACTGCTGCTCTATGAGCCTGTTGTTCCAGGACTCACTGTGTGCAACTGTGCCACAGAAACATTCTGTTCCTCAGCCTCGACCCGTGTGCACACTTGATTCCAAAACGGAGAGGTAGTGGGAGGAATCGTACAAAACAAATAAATAATGTCATGTCTCCAGGCCGCAGGAATTCCATTCTGGCAGAAACACTCTTGCTGTAATAGTGGGAGAAGAACCTAAGCTCTATCTAACCCAGATGTGTTTTCTACTGCTAACCACTGGAAAGTTCTGCTCCCATGAGGTGGCCAAGCGAGCTACCTTTGCAAGCCACACCTGACAGGGTATTAGCTTGCACGTGGACCTCACATGCCCTCAGCTGTCATTAATCTGCTATGCAGACCAGACTTGGCCAGGTGTTGCCTTCAGGACTCAGACTGTAGTCTCGATTATTTGGGGTATGTACTTAAATTGTGAACCAAAAAAAGGGAGAATTAAAAAGCAAAAGTAGCTTCAGTTTGCGAACATGAAGATTAAAAAAAGGAGCTCTGACAGATTTGCATGTATCAGAAACTGTGTAGAGTGTTGAGAAACAAAAAAAATTCCTTTGCAAAACATGGAGCTTTAGGCGTGTGTGGAGGAAGGGAGGAATGAGGTGGTTGTGGGTTCAGGGGTCGTGCTCCAGTCTGGGACACTTGCAGTGAAGAATGCTGGGAGAGGACAAAGCAGATGGGTGCTCTCTCTCTCTCTCTCCTCTGCTGTGTGGGAGACCGTCAGCAGACTCCCTGCGACCCCCCTCCCTTAAACCCCCCCTCACGTCTCCAGGCACAAAAGCGTGGGGCCATCCTGCGTGACCAAAATGAAGCAGGCACAGACAACCTTGTCTGAACCCTGCTCTACTGCTGCTGCTGCTGCTGCTGCTGCCTCCTCCTCCAGCTGGGGAGACAGATACTAAAAGTGTGTGTGTGTGTGTGTGTGTGTGTTAGAGAGAGAGAGCTTCCTGAGGTTGTGAAACACACACTGACTGCGGTACACAGGAAGGGGCCATCCAGATTATCTGGGCTGTGTGTGTGACAGCTGCAAGAAGAGCAAGGTTGGCTAAATACAGCATCAAATTAAAGAGAAGAAGGAAAAATTCCTTCAAATATTACACAAAGCTTTTGTTGTCTTTTTGTTATATAAGTTCAGAGAAAACACTTCAGGTGGTTCAATCTAATCTGAAGAGGCTTTAGTGTGTAAAACTGAAGCTAAAATTAGAATTTCTAGAAAATAAAACGAGATAAAGTGTTATCCAACAGCATTGCACATTCCTGGGAAAGGCATGCCACATGAAAAGCACAGCATAGACTGCTGCTGTATTCCCTCTCTGTAAACAAAGGATCATTCAGCTCTCTCTAGCCTAATTCCAGAAAACATGATTCCAAAAAGGATCCGGGTGAGGTCGCGCTAGAGACGAGTGAATTGATTCAGTCGCTTCATCAAAAACAGATTGAGTCTGAGGCTATATAAAAATAAAAGCCTCGGAGTATATCCTGGAAAAAAAAAGCTTTAATAACAGCAACTGACTGAAAACAGAAACCACCAGGAAATTAAATCACAAACATTTATGCATCAAATTTACTGGTTTTAGCATGAAATATCAGTGTGTTGCTGTGGGAAGAGGTTTAAAACAAAAAAAGAGGATCCACACCTGTCTTTTGTAGCTTTAACTGGAAAAAAAAACTCGCGCGAGACTTTGAATCATTAACCAATTTCGAACCTACAGCAAAACGTGCACGTCGCGAGACCACGAGATGACCCGATCACTCCTCGTGATTAATGCTAATTCTAATGACAGCAGCCCCTGTCTGTCAGCTGTGTGTGTGTGTGTACGTGTGTATGTGTGTGTGTGTGTGTGTGTGCGCTCACATGTAGTGCCTTCAGGAGTCGCTCGAGTTACAAGAGGCGCACCAGCACCGCTGAGCTCAACGAGAACAACTCCAATACACAAAGCCGACCTCATCAACAGTTCACAGAAATCAACCCACAGCCTCAAACACACACCGTGATGTGAAGTGGTAGAAACACTCTCGGTGCGAGCTCAAGAGCTTTCAAAACCAACCTCAATATCCTCAATATCGATCATCAATCAATAAGTGAATGAAGCGGTTTGTTGGAATCTAGCCTAAATCAACAAATCATGTAAACCCGTCGCAAATGTCACATTTTTATCACCCGAACAAACGGGGATAGTTAGTTAAAACTCTCTTTAGCAATTACACAAACGTGTCAATATTTACAATGAAGCGTTAAGTTAAACGACTTTGCCGTGAAAGAAATCAAGTCAACACCGTTAAGACTCAACTGTGACAGGGTTTCCTCTCAGCATAAAACATACAAAGTAGGCTAGTCCCTTTAAATGACACAAGAGGAAGAACATTCAAACTATTTGGCTCCCAGGTTAAACACATTAAATGCGGTGTTTCAGCCCACAGTCAACTCTCCATTCTGTTTGCACTCACCAGCAATTCGCGTATCCGATCACCATCAGTGACAAAATATCACTGGTTTTTAACAGCCGAAGGGGATAATAGTGGAAGTAATCCAAAATGGCCCGGAGAAAAAGCAGCTCTTTAACCGCACATACAGGCTCCACGGCTCTCGGTTCGGCTATTGTCTGTGTGTCCGCTGCACGGAGGCTCCGTACCAGCTGAAGCGCTTCCCTTGTCTGTAGCAGACTGCCGAGCAGCGCAGCCTTTTTCGTCAGTGGAAAACTCCCTCCTGGCGTCTCTGGTCTGACGCAGGCGGTGACACAGGGAGGCTGCCCACGCTGCTTCCTGCCTGTCCTCCTCAGTCACTCTGCTCGTACTATAAGCCTACCTGCATGACAAAACCTACAGCCTGCAAATGGGCATTAATTGAATCCTTAGGATTTGATCATAATGGAACCATAATAGGCTACATATTAGCTCACATAGCCTATAATGTCCCTCCTTAGTCTTCACAGAGCCTCTGGTGGTAAATGTGTGAAACACTTTGTTGGTTACATTGTGTTTTATTGATCTATAGAGGTTATATATATATAATTACTCATCAGATAAATATCATTAAGGCACACTCGGAAATGGAAACTTTAATGAAACCACAATCAAAACAACAAGATGTTTTGAAAATCAAAAATTTTAACTTGAAGTATCCCCAAATCTTTACATATTCTGATACAATTATGTATAAGATCCACCTATTCAGTTAACTAAATTGTTAACTGTGTCACATTCTGAACTTGAAATGATCATTTGTGCTTTTGTTTCTTCCCGCCTGGACTAATGTAATTCACTTTTCACCTGTCTTAAGGTCCTCACATACCAGGAACGATGCAAATATACGACACAAAATTATGAAATATTCGGGGCTGAATTTTGACACGCCTGACTATACACATCAAGTGCGATTCGATTTTGCAACTTTCCTGGGGGGGAAAAGATGCGTCTGGGGTGGAAGCAAGAAGACTGACACAACAGCAGACTGACTGTTTTTCAGTTCTGATTAGACACTAGTGTTGAGATCAGTCATGATAGCATGTACTGAGCTAGTACCAGATAAGCACATTAAACTATAATCCATAAACGTAAGGTAACAACCGAGACCTAATGGTGCAGTGAAAATACATATGGTATGTTTTATCTGAACATGTTAGCTTACACGCTAAAGTTACTTAGCTTAGATCAAAGTTTTTTAACTTTAATAGTATTTCAACAATAGTCAAAAACGGCCAATAGTGACTCCCAGACTCCATAGGGTTAAATAAATACTACTTACTTACTTACTTGCTTACCTTATGTATCAATTTTTATTGATTATTTTCAAGGCTTTTAATGGATTGGCACCTTCTTATCCAGCTGATCTCCTGCACTATCATGCTCCAGTTAGACCACTGAGGTCAACTTACCAGCTGCTTATAGAAATTCCAAGATCAAGACTGAAAAAAAGGAGGAATGGAGCCTTTGAAGTGACTGAGATATAGATTAGTCTACATGTCCGTATAAGATTTGTATAAGATAGATAGATAGATAGATAGATAGATAGATAGATAGATAGATAGATAGATAGATAGATAGATAGATAGATAGATAGATAGATAGATAGATAGATAGATAGATAGATAGATAGATGTTTGCAGTGAGTTGCCTCAGCACTGGGCTGATATCATCTATATTACAGTGGTGGGTGGTGCTGTCATGCTGTGTGGTGTGGCTGACTTCCAGTTAAAGGAAAACACTGACTAAGCTGTATGAAATTATGACTCAGTTTCTTTTTTATGGAACACAAAAGTGAAGAAGAGTTTCAAGGGAAACGACAGCCTTTACTATAACAAACGAACACAGCTACGTGCCTGAAATATGACTCACCACATGCCGCTAACACTCAGCTGATGTAAAATCTGTAACCGTACATTATGATGAAAACTCAGTTTGTGTGGTCTGAAAATCAATCTAGATTGTCTCCATTATTCTGAGGCAGACCAAAAATAGATACAGGAAGTTAAAAGCTACCGAGTCAAGGTTTCCTATAAGCCACCAAAGTCATGTTCTCTCTTCTCATCTAAAAATATGGAGGCTTTTTTAATCTTGGGGATGTTTCCAAATATGGATTTTTTTATTTTAAATCTTGGGGATGTTTCCAGTCTGTAGTTCAAACCCAGAACATGACAGCTATGGTTTGTTTAATCTGTGTTGCATTTGTTTTAGCTTAGTTTGTTTCTGGATGGTTCAGACTTACTATTATTTCTTCAGATACGGGTGTGAAATGAACTCTTTTCTGTTTTAAGAGGATTCAAAATGAAATGTGTCGCACTGCCAGGCTTAATCTGGCTACTTGTAGCACATCAAAAACAAACAGATAAATTCTCACCGACAGCAGACTTTCCGGAACAATTTTATCGTATTTCCCAGAAGAAACTAAGGAGAACTTATTCAAAGTTAAGTAATAAAATGTTTCATAAGAGTTGTTTAGAGTTCGACTGGCAGTTATTGATTTCCAGAGATTGAATACTCAGAAATAAAACATGTGACACCCTGTAAACTCAGAGAATCAAGACAAGGACAAGGAAAATCTGATGAATCTGATCTCATGAAGAGACGTGTCAGGGGTTTTCTCATGGCATCAGAATTTCCCCACAGCTGAAGGCCCTGAAACATCAGTTTCCAAGGATACAAGTAAAGTTTTTCACACTGAATTAACTATTTCACATACGAACAAATCAGTAATTCCACTTTGTTGTAACCACTCATTGAGTCAACACTTCACTCCACAGCCCTCCACCCCTGACGCCCCTACAAACACCCACACCCCCTCACCACCCCTCCCTTCTGCTGAACTCCTCTCAGGTATTTACAAGTCCTGCGTGCACACTGAGATGTTTTGCTTTCATTCTCAGCTGGACCTGAACACTGAGTCAAAGTGTTCTCCAAATGTCAATACAGGTGCTTGACTCCCATATTTGGGGAGAGGTCTCCCAAACCTGTGTACATAGAGCTATGCTAATTGTCTCTTGCTAATAGAGCCCCTTTCTCACTGGCCTGTTGAGCCTGAGGGCCTCATTTAGGAAGGCAAAACAAGCACATCAAGCTGAATGACAGCAGAAAGTAGTCCCATTACTCCCCAGAGTGCTTCTGTTTCTGAATTCTGTTCCTGTTTTCAAAGTTAATACCTAATAAAGTAACAGCAGATACAGTGTGCAAGTGTGTGGGTTAAGCTGATTCCAGTTGTTTGCTTTGGATGTAGTAGTTTCACCAGAGTCATAAATTAGCATTTAAAAGGAGAGAGCAGCTTTGTGATAATAAATCTGTTAGATAACAGAGATTATAGTTGGCCAGGCGTCGTATTTGTGAACCTTAAGTGTTATTTTAAGATATAGTAAAAGTTTGAGTGAAGCTTATGATTGAAATAAAGAAGATACTGTACATATTGATGCTTCTTTCTTTTCATTTCAGCTCTCCATTGCAGTGCAAAGACACAAAAAAACATCAAGCCACAAACGCAAAGACAACGTCAATAACCACAACAACTAACAACAGCCTACGAGACAAAAACAAAACAACAAAACTAGAACAATACAAACAACATACACATATGACTGGACCTTATTCATTTTCACGGTGTAGTTATAGTTTTGAAGTAATCAGATGTTTATATATTAACAGACATTCGACATAATTGAATTAATTTACAGAAACAATACCCAAAACTTAAGCAGACTTCAGATATTTCAAGTAAGTCGGACAAACTCTGATTGATTCTACAAAGTAGTTTCATCAAAATAAGGAGCTGTTTGACTAATAAATGTTCTTTTACAAGATCTTTAAATCTGTATTTATTGTGTATTTGCTTCTATGAATATGAATACATGAAATAAAATATTATTAGGGGTGAAGAAGCAGTTATCTTGATGATTGTTTTCACGTTTCCTCAGTGAAACATCAAACATTTCCTCAGTGAACGAGCCAAACCAAAGTAAATGGTTGAACTGTATTATCACACACATGCCACAGCCTGATTGAATGTTATTAAAGGGTGAATGGAAGTGGCAATTTTAAGTGTTGTTGTAGCCTTTGTACTAGAAAATGGTGCAGAGAGTAGTGATAGTTGCGCAGTGTGGGAGGGGGTTGTCACAAGATGATTAAACAGGAGGAGGAGGTGAGAAAGAGGTGTCTTAGTAATTTGTTTTTAAGAAGTTTGCCCGATCACTGACCCTTACTTTGGAAATCAATAACACTCGAAATAAATAATGTACCTAAATCAAGATAAGAGGAAGAGATGACTGATCACAATTTATGAAAAACACTAAAAAGTGAAGTAAATGGATAATTAATCAACTCTGTTAACATTAAAAAGTTCAGTCTCTACAGGGTATCTTTGTTTTTCTCTGGCGAGAGCACATGTTTTTACGCACTGAGTGTTTTTGGTTTTGTTTTCGTGCATCCAAGGTGTGTTTAAGCATAGGTGAGGCATGTGTTAAAGCTCCAGTGTGAGCCCAGGAGTCACCATGTCCAGACAGACTCCACCCAATTAGCTTCCCCTGTCGCCCTGCTACTCCCAACAATGAAGCATCCACGGCCCCGAGGAAGAAACCAACAGTCACATGAGCGGCAGCAGCAGTCACAGCTATTACTGAGGAATCCTGCTCTCTTCACACACACACACACACACACACTCACTCACATACACACACAAAATACCTAATAATCACCAACATTAACAATTAGCCCTCTGTTTGACAAGTCCCAGAGAGCCTGCAGACATTCTTCCTCGCTCTGCCTCCTCTGTGGTTTGGGTCAGAGTAAAGTTAATTATAGCAGCGGAGTTAGCAAACATCATCTCACTGACAGGTTCAACAATGTTGTTTTGATGGACAAACATTATGTAACAGGAAAATCTTGGAAGCGCGAAGACTTTGAAGAAGTGTCCTTTATGGAGTTCTCTTGAGATAAACAGGAAGTGTCTTGGCGGCGGAATTTATCCGTTTTTATGTCGGTCTTTGAAGTCCCCTGTCAGGCCCGTCAATTCCCCCTTTTGATAAACAAGGAAAAAAAGTTCCAGGGAACAGTGCGACTGACTCACACATGTTTACCCTCTCCTCTGAGAAAAAAAAAAGAGCTGCATGTGAGTGTAGGATAGGGGGGATGGTAGTGCCAAAGCCAGTGAATCAGGCCTGAATACATTAAGGCCACTCTCTTTAAAAGTGTGCCAGAGAGTTCATGGTGGAAGA